AATTTCTATTTTTACAATCAATAATGGAGTGATTTTCCAGCACTACTTCACGCAGTTAGCAGTACTCGAAGCGTATGGGTGCAAAGCTTTGATGTTTCATCTATACATAAGTGTAGTATACAGCACGCAATTCTAAAGTGTTATTCAACATGTAAAGCGTTCATTTTGGATAAATTAGGGAAACCTGTTGATCCAGGAAAGGGTCGTTACCGGTATGTTCACGAAGTTGAGAAGTGAGGTGAGAATCAAAACTGTTGCACGGTTCTCCCCACTCATTTTGATCCAGTTTGCTAATTCACAGGATACTTTTAGTTACCCAAAAATGTCGAATAACACCGGAAAAGTAAAAAAAAGTGGATCACTGATTGTTATGGAAATCCTCACAGCACGTCTAATACTAAAAGGTGACTGATAAGCAATTTCTAAGCACTTTGTATAGCCCTTCTGGAATGCACGCAGACTCTGGCAACAAACGTTAGCAGCCACGCGATAACAGCCCACACTTTTTAAAATTTTGTGCTAATTCAGGAATAAAACTGTAGCATTAACCGCCTAAGCTGAAAAAATTTACGCTATATTCTGAACAGATTTTTCCATGGAAGAGAAAAAACTAAGAAAAAAAAATGAAAACAACCGTAAAACAGTAAAGCATTGGGGGTAAATAAAAATGAAAAAGCTGTCATATGATACAGTGATAACTGTGGCAAAAATAACAATGGACTATGCAACAGAACAGATTACCGCGCTTTCAGATACTTGTAACTAATTATTACAGAATAAAAACAAACACCTGATAATGAAGAATTAATAAAATTACCCGGTGCAGCGTAGTTTTGCCTAGATCCCTCATTCCCTCACATCATCTTGCAAAAACCACGCATATATTTGTTTATGTGCTTTTATGCTTGTGAGCAAAACTTGATCCCTCAATCCATTTGCTTCTATCTGGTTCAAATTCATCTTATTACCGACATGGTGCATCGGTCCAGGACAAATTACGCCCTAAATTGTTATAAGAAGGACACCTGGAATCCGATATGGAATGTGTCGAAGAAAACAGCTCACCTCCCACTGCAAAAATTTTAAATCACAGGGATCAAGCAAAATGCTGAAAAATTTTTGAGAGATGCATATGAAGTTCGTGCTAGATTTGGATGCACAGGGGCATAGCTGAGAGAGCGGGATGTAACTGAGGTTCGGAACGGTATTCGTCCAGATGTTGAGGAAAATAAAGGTAATTATGGCGAGTGACAAATAATTTTGCAGATACGTTTTTCGTCTGAGAGTTGACACTTTATGTAAAAATTGTGCTACAGAAAGCATCAGCCACTGCCTGTGGATTTAAAAATAGGAAAATCCACAGCCCAAACCTGCCCTTCAGCTATACTCCCAGCAGGCCAATGATCTAATAACAGTTCAAGGAATGAATGAAACAATAACAACGGAGTTTCAAAGTGCCTGACAAAAAACACCTCCAACAGATTCTCCGGCCAGTTTCATTTCTAAA